AAAAAAAAAAAAAAAAAAAAATGTCCACCTGGTGTGCACCAGCTTGCGTACTGCCCCTTCAACATACGTCCAATGCATGCAAACTAAGGGGCGTGACCTCGCTTACCGTCCCCGCAATATGTCCCCTAGTTCTTGCCGAGCTCTATGATCTGGAATCCGCATACAAACACTGTAATTTCTGGCGCGGGTTTCCTACCCATCAAGATGGCTTCCAAAAGGGCGATGAAGGTCAATTAAATCATTTGTTAGGGGATGTTCTCGTTGCCGGTGTTTTCGTGCCTTACTTAAGCTTCTTAATATCTGTCGAGGTCGTATGTTAGGTGTACATGTTGTTTTTGTTTATTCAACTATTTCTATCTATTGGGCGATTAAGGCTATAGAGGAGAGTTACAGATTAGGTTTCACATATATGAAAACAGATTCAGGCAATTGTCAGACAACAGTACGAGAGCCGAATAAACGTCACAGGTTCTGTTGCCTGTTGTAAGAACAACAAACGTACAACAACAACAACAACAACAACAACAACAACAACAACAAACCGTAGCTGTTGTTGTTCTAGTCTTCTTAAATTAATTCTGATAAACTCCTGCACGATTGGACACTCAAGGTCTTACCTTGGGTCCAACGTCAAATCGTTTCCTTCTGTGCCATGTGTAATGTTTCTATATTGGAGGTCTCCAAAGGAGTTTTTTACCTGAAGTAATATAATGTATAACGCGAAAGTATAATTAAACAAAAGTCATAGTTGTTGCGCTGCGAAAATTGTAATTAAGGGATAGACATTAGTAATGTATATCTAACATACTTTTCGACGATGACTTGAATTGGTGTACGAGAAAGTTAAGCATTATAACGTCCGAGGAAGACGTATGAACAAAAGAACTTTGGCATTCGTTGACGGACTTCTGGCTCTCTATCGTTTTTGAACCGTTAAGCATGTCACTCAGTTAGTGTTTTGAAACGGACAAACTCCGAAGTTACGTTTATATCAGTCGAAGCATCTTTTACAGTTGTTATAGAAATTATCTATAGCATTCACACATGCAAAACCAAGCACAGTCATATTTAAATGTGTATTAGCAAAAGCAATCAGTAAATTTAAACTATCCTGTTAAAAGTTCTAAAAAGCCTGGAATGAATGGAAATGTCGGCTCGGCGGTAAAACAGCATGCCGAAACCACTGGCCACGACATACACCTTAATTATGCGAGTATTTTGGAAACAGGCTCTTTCTAGAGTCATTACATTCATTCGTGGACAAGGACTCTGTTAATGAAAGAGCACCTTTCCCAAGGGTTTACACATCACTGGTTGCCTCCCAAAGGAGCAACGAACAATGACATCTTTGCTATATATTTGTATTCCATGACTTATAGAGTACATTTCTCTGAAGAAGACCGCAGAAGGTGGTCGAAATTTGTTTTAACGTTTTTAGATCTGTTTTAATACCCCTTTTTTTAGAACTTTTAATAATGAGCACAGATCGCTCCAACAGTTTCATTTATCCTGTTAACCTCTCAGAGAATTTTCCTCTCTCCAAAATTTTAGTGTTGATTGCATAGCTACGAGTAAGGACTGCAAAATTTGCAAAGTCGGGGTGCTTGGCACTTATGTGTACAGAACACTCAACGTGTCTTGGACGAAGTAAAGCTACAATATCTCTGTGTCAGCAAGCTGTCTTAACCCTGCTTGCGTTATAACACTCAATGCATTGTGCTCGCCTTAGAATTCTTGCAAAGATATTATCTCCAGGTCGGTTAATTTCCTCTTCTTACCTCAAATTCTAATTGCCGCTTAAAGAAATCATTAAAAGATCCATTCTGGTTATGTTCTCCAAGAGTTCTGGTCCAGGGAAACGATATTTTAAATTCTACAGACTCGTAAGCTGTGAAGAAAGAACACAACAACAAACGTAACGTGAAACGTTGTTAGGAAAATGGCTATGATTGAATAACTTTGACAATTAACTACTACAGGGAGTTAGGTTTGCATCGACTAATGAGAAACGAGACTATAATGATGATGTTTTGGAAACATAAGAGCCCCAGAAGGGGTTGTACTTTATTTTGTTATTTATCATTATCATTATTGTGGGAGTCGCGGGGGCCTCGTGGTTAATGCACTCGTCTCCGGATCGAGCGGTCCGGGTTCGAGCCCTGGCCGGGGACATGTGTTGTGTTCTTGGGCAAGACAATTGACTCTCACAGTGCCTCTCTCCACCCAGTTGTATAAATGGGTACCGGCGACCTTAATGCTTGGGGTAACCCTGCCGTGGACTTGCATCACATCCAGGGTGAGTAGCAATACTCCTAGTCGCTTCATGCAGCAGAAACCGAGATAAGTCGATTGGACTGATACGCCACTTGCTCGCATGGAGACTTAACCTTACCTCGCCACTATCATTATTCTACTCCTCTTACCCTTGACCAGCGGCGGTACGGTGAGGGCAAAAGTTTTGAACATAAAGGGGGTTAATTGCACATGTCAAGAGAGGACGAGGGGTAAGAGACGTAATGCCCCATAAAGTCCTTATTCCCAACGTAATCTCTCTTCAGTTGTCTTCAGACGAGATGACTGGTTTCTAAGTCTAAACATAATTTAAGAGAGATACCCTTCGGAATATGAGGGACTATAATCCATCAAAACTTTTCGCTCAGATGGGATTGTTCTAGACGCGTAACGTGACATAATATGCCCCAGTTAAAACTGGGGAATATTAGAGTGAATTTCCCCAACTTCAAAAAGATCCCGCGTGTTCCAAAAAATATTTGAAAGGTAATCAACACGGTAGCCTCCATGTAACTGTAAAAATATGTTGGAATATTTTCCTTGGACATTATCTATTCCCCGAAGTTTTCAGTTTTCATCGAGCTTCTAGATCTCGCTCGGAAAACTGTTCGCTTCTCTGAAGAGATTGTCCACGGACAAATATCCGAGCTTAATTTCGCTCGCGCGCGATTGTTCTAAACGCGTCATGTGACTGAATATTCCCCAACTAAAACTGTGGAAAATTCGAGTAGTATTCCCCAATTTTCGCGTGTTGCGAAAAATGTTTTAAGGATAATAAACACAATAGCCTCCATTTGGCGCGAAAATACGCTCGCATATCTTGTCCTTGGATATTATCTACCCTTCGAAGCTCAAAGTGTTCCTCGAGCTACGCTCTCGGAAAACTGTTCGCTTCTCGGAACAGACAATTTCCGAAAAGGCTATTGTTTATATATTTTCGCGCCAAAAGGTTTGGCCATGTTAATTGAACTCTCTAACTCGTCATCTTGTCTTGCACATGTACAATGCAAAGTTAAAACCAGCCATACCTCCGACCACTGTCAAGCTGATGTCACCCTTAGCAATTCCCAGACGATTAACCGCTGTGCACTGATAATGTCCCTGACTATCCGGATAATCAACCTCAGAAATGTGTAGAGTTCCGTTTTCAAAGACCTTCAGAACTTGCTCGGTTTTTTCATCACCAATACGAGTTTCTAGCAATACCGGGTTTCTTTCTGTGATATTTGTTGCTTTATTGGAGTGAGTGACGGTCCAGTAGACAGATGGCGCCGGAAATCCTGAGTGGTCACACGGTAGTAAGGCGGGCTTTGTGGACGAAATGTAAATCGTCTGTGACTGAGGCTCAATGGATGGTGAAACTGGGAAAAAGACACACACACAAACACACACACACACAAAAAACAAAAGTAAGGAAAAAATGCTGAACCTATATAGTAACGGCCATCTCCCGACAATGGCCACCTCTCTATTGCGGCCACATATTCACCGTAGCCACACAACCGCACGCTTGAAATGGTGGTTTGTTTAAGGTAATTGCCATGAAATAAAACTGCACGTAGATTTTTGTTCAAACTTTGTCCAATGAATATTTATCATATGAGAACTTTAATTATAAAATAAAAAGGGGAGGTG